AAAATTGCTATAATGCAGTCTGATCTATAATCTGTGAGCATCTGATTTATGAATGTATTCATCACTTCATTCCCTCACTGAAATGCATTCATATACAAAGATGTCTTCTATTTAACTAATTGTGCAACAGCAGCAATGTTCTGGACAGATTTTCTTCCCCCCAAGGATGAGGAAACTTGGCTATGCATTTTAATGTTCGCTTATGTAGCATTTTGTGCAGCTCTTTTGTATTGAAGTTCTACTTTTGCTGGTGTTTTAGTGTTCCCAGCAAGAAGGAGGCTTGCGATCAGGATTAGGTGCAATAGAATCAATGTATTTCAGTGATTTTTTTTCCTCAAGAACAACTTGCTTTTTGGAAAATGATATCAGCATCTGAGGGCGTGAAGCCTACCTGTTGGTTGTTGAACTGATGGTCATTCTCACTTCATTTTACACCATTTTATTTATCTTTTCCCTTAATTACCACTTTTATGGGTCTGTGTGTTCTTACCCAAAGGCATTTAAACTTGACAGTGTAATAGATTGTGCTGTGAAAGCTAAATAGCTGTTTATTACTTATCCCTACTAATTTGGGCTTTCCCACATCATTACCCATGTGATAATGTCCATGATATTTGGGGAAGTAGTTTTCTGTGCAAACCACTGCCTTTCTCACACTGCATTCAACCTTACTTCCTGACCAAGAAATACAGCAAGAATGCATTAAATCATTCTTCACTTATAAAGTAATAATGGCAGAAATCTAACCACAATTAGCCATGCATTATTATGTTAATCACTTGTGTATTACTTTGAATCTGCCGTTTTGGTTCTACTTCCTTGCCTTTCCCTTTGTCCCTCTTATCACTTCCCTAATTTAATTTATTTTTCACTTGTGATTATGATGCTTGCTAGTGTTGATGCTCAGAGGTGTTTTATTTAGAAAATTACGTTAAAAACTTGAGATACGGCATTTTAATGGCTTGTGAATGATCGAAAATAGTTGTAGGGTATAGATTTGGACTTCACGTTTCTTCAGGTCTGGATTGTAGCTTAAACAAAAAGAATTGCTGTTTTCAGAATTGTTGTGCACCTGTTGAGTCACTGGCATGTCAGAAAGGAGCCACAAGCTTATCTGCAAGCTGGCTAACTTCTCCTGGCTGGGAGGAGGGCAGATGTGGTGGCCCAGTGGGTGACTCAGGATGCAGTGTGGACAAAAGGAGCAGAGAGCCAATGGCTTTGTGCCTGGCCCTAAGAAACTGCTCTTTGTTGCCCAATTCCTTTATCTCCTAACGGTAAAAATTGTACAGATGGTTCCCAAAAAACAGAGATCAAGTGTAAATCTGATTCTTGCTGAGACTGCAATAGCAAGACTCATTAATTTAAACCAATTTTTTGTTTTGAACACAAACCAACATTACACATCTTTGAAGTTCTTATGGCTGCATTTTTTTCTTAGCTTAGAGCTGTAAACGAATATTATTTGTTTACTTTTTAGTAGTCTTTTATGTTAGATACACTGCTTTTTTGTGATGGTAGAGAAACTTGTTCTTTTTCTCAGCACTTTACGAAGCTTTGTTTATTAAGAAGAAAGTTAAAGTACTTCAGATTCCCCATTTCCAACAGATAATCTGTTCTAAGTCATTTTACACTGAATGTGTCACCAGTTGCTCTGCTGACTGGAAGGGGATTCTTCTCCCACCTCTTCTGGAATGCTACGCTCAAAAAGGGAGTCATTGTCACCACTGAATAACTCTCTTCTGCTTTGTTCCTTATTTTCCTTTTAATTCTTCTTCATCATCAAAGTTTGTTTTTACTGCAGACTTCCTTTCCCTTACTGGACTGATCTCCTTTCAAAAATAATCCACTATCCAATAACAAATGTTATGTATACCTCATCCATCTCTGTCACATCGAGCCAGCACAACAAGACACAAAGAAACAAATCTCCCTTTCAGTGGGTGCAGCTGATGGTTTCATACAGCATGCTGCCCAAGGAGTGCACCAATTTTAGTGTTCTTCCAGGTGAGAAAATGCTGAGCAAGTGTTGGCTCACAGAAGCAGAAAGTGCATTTTAGCTATTAAAGTAGGGCTGTTACTTGTGGACTATTTTAGGTTATAATCCTAAAAAGGATCATGCTGATCATGAGCTGAGTCCGTGGAATTGTTCCGAGGTTTATTTTCTTCTTTTAAGTTGCATCCAAGCAAAATTAAACGCAGCAAAATAGAGACCTATGCAGTCATCTCCAGCTGAAGCCAAGCGAGCCCACTGCAGAACACATTTGAAACTCAGCCTGAAGAGTTATTGTGATCCACTTGAAAAGTGCAGGAGTCTTTAAGAGGGATGCACTATTTCAGCTGCCTGAGTACACTCAGCAGTGAGGAGCAATAACAGTTCCTATAGCTTTGTCTGATGGGGGGAAGGTGCTGAAGCAACTCCTCCATCACTTTAGATCTGAGCCACTGGGAATAAGGCTGAGTTTTATCTTAACTCCACATTTCCGTGGTTTCGTGAGTTCAAACACCACTGAGGGCATTTCAAAGTTATGTGTGGTGGTGGGCTAGATGTGGTTTGCTGTGTCATCCGGTGAGAGGGAGACAGTGAAGTCTATGTGTTCCATCACTGAGTGTGAAAGATTCAGCCGTGCTGCAGTTTCTTCCTTAGAAACCAATCCAAGTAAATGCTTCACTGGGCTGAAATAGAAGCTCTTGAAAAAATAAAAGGAATCCCCTACCAGTACAAGCTGGGGTATGTAAAGGAGGGAGAAGCACAGCCCTGCCAGAAAGGGCATCATGGGGGTACTGATGGGTGGCAGAAGCTGTTCTACAGTAAGGATGATGAGACACTGGCACAGGTTGCCCAGATTTATGATGGGTGCCCCGTCCCTGGAGACACTCAGCTCAGGCTGAATGGGGCTCTGAGCACCTGATGGAGCTGTAGGTGTCCCTGATCACATCAGGGGATTTGGACCTTAAGGCCTTTAAGGATCCCTTCCAACTCAAACCATTTTATGATTCCATAATATATCTTCTTTTAATTGGAGTGTACTCATTCAGTTTATTTCTCGTCTCTGTGGCATGTAACTGAACTGAGTTTCAAACTTTAGCAACAGATTTTAATTTGAACTTTTTGCCAGCTTTATATTTTCTTATGCAATTTACTTTTTAAAATTAAGAGCACATGTTTTCCTTCCAAATAACACGCAGTACATTTATTGACATTTTAAATAGGCCAAAGTGAGTGAGCAACCTTCTTTTTTTCTTTCAAGTCTACTTTTTCCCTACAGGCAAATTGCTGTGGGCTTTTGACTCACCTTTTTTATGACACTATTTCAGCACAGATATTCTTAGTTAGAATTCTAAGTTATCCCTTTGAAACAGGAATAGAAATCACCATCTCAGCTAGCAGTTTCTTCAGCTATAGGACTGTATGTATGCGTGTACATACATACAAGTGTGCCCTAAAAATTCATGTGAAACCTCTACCTGTCATACAGTTGACTTTAAATACTTGTATTTCTGTTCCACATGGGGTATTCTGTGACCTAGTGGTTTCTTTCTATTTATTTTCCTTTATGGTGATGAAGTTGTTGTACAGAATGCTTGTATTGTCTGGACCATGCAACAGTTTGGTTTGCGTTGTTCACAAACATAGATTTGAGCATCCAGAAGAAGAATTTAATTAACGATATTGAGAAGTGGGATTCAGTTTTACAAATGGTCTAAACAAGCATCGTACATCCCAATCTCACCTATGAGAAGTGATATTTTATAATTGAATCTTTTGTGTTTTTTTCCCCCCAGAATTACTAAAGAAAAACAAACCAAAATAACAACAAAATCCCAAACAGCAGCAAAAAAAAACCTTACAGTTTTTCTGAAGTTTTATATTTCATGGATTTTTCACTGAAAATTATGTCATCTTGTGTTGTGCGTTTTTTTCTGCTAATACTAATTTGCCCACATTTAAGTCTAATAATACTTTATTAAACCTGACACGTGGAATAGCAGAATCTCGGTGATGGAAAGTTTGGGATTCATTTCCTTGAGCAGTTTTAAGATATCCATGTCACAGAAAGTTGTTTTCTGTCGCAAGTTGTTCGGGTGTAAGCTGCTTCTGCCAGCGACTTTGTTTATGGGAAAGAAATCTGGCTGTGAGAACCAGACTTATTTTAAGGTAATTGACAAGAACTGTGTCTGTGATCCCCAATGTAAGCTTTTCCCAGTCACTTTGGGGAGATTAGATGTCTCTTAACATCATCTTACCAGCAGTGAAGTTGCTCCAAAAGGACTCCCGTAATCATATTAGTTTCGCTGCCATCACCCCGTCTTCAGATTCTTTCTTCTTTCTTAATAGAACCAAATCTGCTTTTGCCATCTATTAGGTCCAACATTAATGCTCTTTTGCATGTTAATTACTCTTACTTTACCTATAACATTCAGCTCACTCTTGTGGCTCCCCAGTTTTGAATCTGGAAGCTTGGTGCCATTGCTTTCTCCATGTGGCAGTAGAAAATGCTGCATTGTGCTATTTAATTTTCCAGTGTCTTTATATAGGAATTATTGAGTATGGAATGGAGTAAATGACTCAGGAGTTCACTCATTTATCCTGGTTTATCATGTGATTTATGAATGAATTTTCCTTGTATTCTGAGTGAGCTTTGGCATGTTATCCTAAATATTTAAGCAAATTTCTTGGGAATCTTCTGAGTGATGTAAAATCACAAAGTTTCTCTGACAGAGATGCAAGTTTGAAGAAGACTTTTTAAAACAAAGTCAGGGTGGGGCATAATCCCTCAACAAGAGTAATTGTTACTGTTCCAGGCAGGACTCCCATGGGAATGGCTATTAAAAAACTGAATGCTACATTTATCACTTTAGAGCATACCATCCTATAGAAATTGTAGCTGCTGTCTTCATCAATGTAGCTCTTCTCCCCTTAAGTAAAAGGCACTCACTCAAACATTTTGTTATGATCTTGGAGTATAATGCTTCTCTGAAAGAACTGTTTCCTATTTCAGGTTATCTGTGATCTGGAAAACCAAATCCACAAGCTGAGGGAAGAGCTCCTTCAGGTGAAAGCTCAGCAGAAGCAGCAGCTGATGGAGCTGAGCCTTCAGAGGGAGGAAGAAAGGCAGAGGGCAGCGCGAGATCACAAGGCGGCGGTCAGTCAGCTGAAAGCAGAGACCGAAAGGATGCTGCTGGACCTGAAGAAGGTGCATGCTGCAGAGACAGAGAAGGCCTTGGACAAGGTAAGGAAATCATCTAGGGCTGCTTCTTGTGGCACAGCAAGTGGGGAGCGATTGCCTCAGAAGTCAGATAACACAGGTGTACTAGTGTAAAAACGTGTACGGGTCACTTGAGTTGAAAAAGAACAAGGCAGTGCGTTGTACAACTGCATTGGATGCCACAATACTGTGTGAGTATGGGAAGTTTTGTGATTCTGTAGTGAAAGTATTCTGTCTGAAGATACGATGGCAGCAGTCACCCTGTGGCTGTTACTCACCTTCTGGCTGCTCTGTGAGCAGGGTGGCCACGACCTTTAAAGTCCAGATGATTGCAAAGGGAAACCCAGCTGAGGACTAGGCTGGTTGCTTTAACTTCATTGGATTAGAGAGCAGAAAGGGCAGCTCTGTCTAACCACGCTTTTTCTCCCTCCAAATGCTTCATCCCTGAAGGTGCTCAAGGCTAGGATGGATGGGGCTCTGGCCAGCATCCTCAAGTGGGTGGCAACTGGCCCATGTCAGGGGACTGGAATTGGGTGGGCTCTAAGGTCCCTTCCAACTTGAGCCATTTTATGAAAATAAGGGAAGTTCAGGCTAAAATTGCAAGGAGATAAGGTCTAGTTGCTAACAGTGTTTGGTCTACTTCTGTCTGTGTGCATCAGATGAGCAAGTGCTGTGTGAAAGGTTTGAAAATAAAAATTAATGTTTCAGGTTCATCAAGGCTTCCATCCTTGTTCTGTTCAAAGGGGTCGCTGCATAGCAGGGCATTGATGGCTTCCTGGCAAACCCCCAGCTTCTGAACTGAAGTGTTTTACTACAGGAAGGATGACATGAACTAAAACACGTTAGTTTTATTTCAAAGACAGAACTAAAAAAGCCTACCTAATATAGGTGGTAGACCAGAGGGGTATGTGTAAGCAGATAATTGTTGAAGTATCTTTTATATTTGCTAGTGTAATGAGTGATAGATTTTTTTGCCCACTGATGTACAGCAGCACAAATTAACAATCTGCATATGCTGTCTGAATGGCCTTTGTGAAAGTGACATTTCATTTACCTGCGTCAGGTTCTTGGTCTGTAATTTTAAACAGCACTGGGAGGATTATGTTGGAAATCAGCCAGCCTGAAGCCATTAAAATGGCTGTGATCAACAATTCAGAATCTTTTCTGAATGTAAGGAAAGCTCCGCTTGGCATAATTATTTAAAGCCAAGGTCACACAAAGTATTTAAACCTTTGAAATTCATCATTAAAGGATTAATTTTAACTCAGGAAGACATTGTCATTTTTGCTTAAAAATGGAATTTGAATCTCAATTCTTTTCTTTCTTTGATCTTTTTTTACATGTGTAGTATTGCAAAAGAAAAGTTAACTTCTTTACATCCTCAAATTAAAGTTACAAATAATCCTTCATAGGGAAATATCTTTAATAGTCTTGAATTGTCATTTCTGTCAGAAATATATATTTTTTGAATTTGTTGGATTTTTTTCCTATTTTTCCAAATAAAATTGCTAATTTTAAGCTTTATTAACTGCTATTAATTTAACCTACTTCTCTCTCTCTCTTTTTTTTTTTTTTTTTTTACCTCTAATCAGAAGAGCACACGTTGAGTAAAGAATAAGGAGGGGGGGGGAAATCTGTTAGAAAGTCTTTCATAGACATGAAGAAATACCTTGCATTGCCTTCATATCTCCCTCTAATGTTCTTCACTTCAGTCTTCCAAATGCAGAGCTGTAGAAATTGGCCACAAAGTCCAAAAGTCAGAGTAGCTAAAAGGGTGCACAACATTTAAAGGTCAAAAGTAACAATTTCTGCTAACTTATTTTCAAATCTTGAGCCTATTAAAACCCTTAGAATTTTAGATAGGGATTTTATCTGAGGGAAGAAAAAGAATAAAGCACCTTAATTGCAGCATGAATCTTGAAACTCGTTTTTAAAACAAGCAAGTCTCGTTCCCCTGAAATGTAGGACAACATGGGAAAAAGTTTTGTCCTCCAAACTTAATTCTTTTTGCCAAGTCTTTAAAGATTGTTTAAAAATCCAAGAGGAAGCTGCATTTCACTGTTTAGGCTTTGAAATAGTCATATGGATGTCCAGATTTCTGAAGGTCAGTTCATTCCCGTGTGAAGGAGCTCATTCCTTCTGGAACTGTTCTGTGAGTAATACTGATTTGTGTATTGCTTCATGAAATTGTGAAGAATTGTTTAAAAAAAAAAAAGAAAAACTGGCTAAAACTTGAGTGGAAAAAAAAGAGTACAAGGAGACATAGGAATCCTATGGTATTGCCCTCCCCATAGCCCTGCTGCAGTAGGGATGGGAGGGAGGGCAGTGGGGAGAAGAATTTGAGGAACCAATTTTTATTGCAAGCACGCTGGGCATTTAAATATCTGTTGGTATTTGTAGATAGCTCTTCCATATTGATGTAAGCAGTGTTCTTTACTGGGCCTTTGAAGTTGAGATTTTAAGCAGCAGAAAAGATGAGATATTGCTTACTGTAGAATTTTGGTTAATTCTGTTGGTGATTATGGCATACGATGCTGGAAAGTTACCCAATAAAAGTAGTATTGAACCTGTGATTCCAAAACCAAGTATCTTTTGACAGTTATTCTATCTCTGCATCAGTAGGGAACGATGAGTGGGAAAAAATATTTATCAAATTTCCAACTGACGCTGCGTAACCCATGCTATAGGAAAAATAAATGTATCCATTGTTGTGGAAGCAATTATAAAGGGAAGAGGCCATAACTTTCCAGGGACCCCCTCTGTGGCAGGCAGCATTTTCACTTAAACACCTCCTTGCACAAAAGTGAGCCACAGCTGACCAAAAAAATGGACATTATAAATGGTGTTGAACCTGGTTTGGACAAAATGTGGCACTTCTGAAGTTTCTCCATGCTGATCACCATCCCGTGAGCTCTTTGACTTCTGGAGAAGGTGGTGAGGGCTCTGCCTCAATGGGAATCAGCATAGAAGCTGTGCTGCTGGGCTGCACGTGCCCTTGCTCACAGGTTGAAAGGGCTCAGGTCCAGCCTCTGGGGAAGGGGCACAGACACTCCCACCCCAACATTTACGTTCCTGGGGAGCATCTGCCCAGGACTCAAGTGTTGGAGAAGCCCTTATGTTATTTGTTATTGGTTGAATGTAGTATGGTATGCTTCCATGTGCACAGTTTCATGCTGTTCTATCAAACTGGATGCATTCGTGCTTTTCCCCGATTGGGTCTGACCACATGAAGTCTCCCACGTTCCTTTTGCATCTGCATCCTTCCTGGTGGTGTAAGCAGTACAGCTAAGGATATGGATATTCACAGGTCTGATGGGCATTTTTCATCATTCCTATGTCTCCTTCCCTCAAAGGGCTGTGGTGGTGTTTCCTCCAGAAGGGGAGAACAGCGCAGGAACTCCTTCCATTGATCTGTCCTCATTCTGTAAGCAGGGCTCTTGCCACCAGCCTGTATGTGTGTGAGAAGGCAATAGGGCTGTGCTGCTGTAGGGCAGCATGGCACTTTGCTTTCAGCCTGGCTAGGTTGGGTGCCAGCCGTAGTCCCTGTATTGCTCACCTGTAAGATGTAACATGTCTATTGTGTTAGAACACAGAACCTCTTTATCAGATGTGGACAATAAGCAGTAATGTCCTTAAGGGCCGATAAGCTGTGCTGGACATTAGTCAGACAACTTGAAGATGATAGCATGGAGAATCTGAAGCTACTTATCACATTCTTAGGACTTCTGCGCTTCTGTAATATCGGTTATCTGTCTCTAACATAAAAATTACTTGACAGTTTCTTCAAATTATTTCTTGTATATTAGCTAAGGAATCTTAAATACCGCTTTAGAGGAACACTTGCATTCAATCAGTGATTTTCATTTGCTTTTAAAGCTGTTAACATATAGATTTAATTTGCTTGAATTTCATTATATCAAGTTGATTATAGCGTTTTCAGATACGGTGGTGATTTTTTTTCTATTTGAAGTCATACCTCATTACGATGAAATGAAACAAATTATTTAAGAAATAAATGTATTAAACAGACAAACTACTGCACTGAGGCTCCAGTAATGACTCATTTCAGCAGCAGGAAGTCAGGTGTGCTAGAGGTTGCATCAGCAGCACTTGCAGCACTGATCAGCCAGGTGGAACAGACCCTACAAAGCCTATGAGCATTGTCAGGTTTGCCAGAAATTACTGAAAGAAAGAGACAAACTGCATTTCTAAGTGTGTGCAGATGTGAAGCTTGGCTAACACAACTGTTTGTAACATTCGTCTGTGGTATTTTCTTGGCAAAGCAAATGAGCATTCAGAAAGCATGACCCTAGCAGATCAGTAGACATGCTAACAATGCTCAAAGGAAGCAACCTTGGAACGCTGAAAGTATCTCATAAAAAAGCTCTCTGAGCAGTGTACATGACTAAACTGGAGCGGGAGAAAAGACTTTTTTTTTTTTTCCTCTAGATAATTTTCAACATTTAGCTTTTTACTGACTTTTTTTCAATAGTTAAATAGAGACTTTTTTTGACTCATCCTGTTAAATCTTTATGCGGGTTCCAGGAACATCTAATTCTTTTTCAGTGCTGCTTTTCTGTGGAGAAGTAATTTACATTTTTGTGCATTGACTAAAAAAAAAGGAAAGTCCAGCACTTGAGTTACTTGGCTGCAATTCTTATGAATTTCACTTTTGTGAATTTCACAGAGATAGGACCCCAGGACAGCGTGCAGCCTGGCCAGGGCTGTGCAGACCACTCTGGTAGGTTTTAATGGTGTAGCAGTTACCTGTGCTCTGAGATTTCTGTTACTTTAAATAAAATCTGACAGTCACCATGTTTTTTGGTCTGTACCTGTTATAATCCACCTACATCTGGTCCTGAGTCTGTGTGAAGCTAAAATGCCTGGGAGATTTGAAAGCGAAAATTTGGAAGGTTAAATATTTAAAAGAATATGCATAAAAATACCCTCTTAATTAGGAATTACTTCCTTAATTAGGAATAACTATTCTATATTATAGTTACATTATCATGTTTTTGTGGCGG